TTTAAAACGAGTTGTTTGATTATCTCAAGCTGTTCTGTAATTGTCATTGAGAAAGGCGGTTAGGAAGTAAGTTCAAAACTTTTCGCGCTTTTTGGCCTGGTATCTGAAGCGTCAGGGTTATGATAAAGAATCAATTCAACGGTTCAGCAATTTGAAAAGCACAATAGGGCTTACACGAAAAAGTATGTTTAAACCTTTTAGTTAGATCCATAATTCACAGATTTATTAAAGCTTTTTAATTTAAAATCAAAAAGTTATGAGGTTTGGGAAACCAATTGAACATTTGCAACATGCCACAAAAGCACTTAATGAAGTTGACGAATTCGCGAAGTTTACTACTATAGGACAGCAGCTTGGTTATGCTATATATCTATTTTGGGATACCTTTGCCTGGGTAAGTTTATGAAATAAACTTAAGTATTTTCTTTTATAATTTTATTTTCATCACTTATATATATTTCTTAATATAGGTTCATAACGCTGGCGTATACAAGTTTCAACAAATTAAAAGAATAAACGAAAATGCTAATAGATTTTGGTTGATTGGACTTGTGTTCTCAGTTATTCATGGCTTGTATAAATTACATAAAAATGGTTATCAATATAACTTTATGAGGCGGGCAAGTAAAGCCAGATTTGCGGAATCTAGCGAACAGTCAAACGTCAAATCAGAAACTGCATCACTTATGAAGTAGGAATTTTCTTCTCTTACCATTATTTTTTGCAATTGGTTTTCGTCTTTTGAGTTTACTCACGAACCTTGTTTTTTTAAACAGGGAACGCAAAGCTGTTATCAGACAACTCGTTCAAGATCTACTCGATATAATTCTCCCAGCTACAGCGCTTGGATATGTCCATTTTGAAGATGGGTTTGTTGGTCTTACTGCGGTCATTTCTTCTATTATGGGTGCTCAAACACACTGGAAAAAAGTCAATGGTACAAAATAAATTATGTAAATTATCAGGTTTTCAAAAACTGTTTTTATGTAGCATTTTAATTTATTTCAATGAATATCAATACTATAAAATATATATATACGACGATTGATTGTAAAAAAAAAAAATTAGTTAATCATGTGATAAGATTAAATTGACTGCATATCAATTGGACGCGTTTTAGATCAAAAAAAAAAAAATTTGCAGCGGACTAGTTAATTGTTTAATTGTTTAGTAGCACTGCAGATTTTTTTGCAGCCAATTAGGTTTATATTTCAAAGATCATACCCATGTTAAAAAAAAATGTGTTACCGAACTGATCAAATCCCATCGATTCACGTGACTTTTAATCTCAAAAAAAAATTTTTTTTTAAAAAAAATAAACACCTATAAAAGGAGGGCTGAAAAAAAAAAAGAATCGACTAAACATATCTCTTAAAGAAATGATAATAAGCAACACTACAATGGCCGAACAAGCAGCTCAAGAACAATCTTCCGTGATAAGAGAACGTTACTTAAATAATATCAATGGGACCGGAAACGGTAATTTTCAGTCACAACTAGATAGTACTCAGCAAAACCTTACCCCACCCTCTAGTCCAAAGAGACCGAATTACCAACTGAAATATAGTATGGTAGGTCACAAGAAAGCAGTGTCGAGTGTTAAATTTTCTCCTGATGGAAAGTGGTTAGCCAGTGCTTGTAGGTTTTTTTTTCAAATAATCAAAATTTATTGATTCAATGTGCATTACTGAAAGAGGGCCCAAATTAAATCAAAGTGAACAAGGGTTTACTCTTTGAATACTCTTCATGCTTAATGTAATTGTTGCCTTTTTAATAGCTGCTGATAAAACAATAAAAATTTGGAATGCCCTTGATGGTAAATACGAAAAAACTTTTGAGGGACATAAGCTAGGTATATCAGACGTTGCCTGGTCCGTAGACTCAATGTCTTTGTGCTCTGGTTCCGATGATACTACAATACGAATCTGGCACTTGAATAAGGTAGAAATCTTAACTTTATAAGGATACTTGTATCTACTCGTTTCATTTTATCGGATATTGTAATGTAAATATTTCCTATTTCTTCGTTCATTGATTTGACAAATTGCTTTGATACAGAACACAGCCGTTAAGGTTCTCAAAGGTCACACGAATTATGTTTTCTGCGTAAATTATAATCCCCAATCGAGTTTAATCGTCTCAGGATCATTTGATGAAAGTGTTAGAATCTGGGACGCCAAAAACGGTAAGTTAACCTTGACATGACCATCGTCTCGTGATTTCAACTTTTTTTATGCTAATGAATCATAAATCATTTTATCTGACATAGGTAAATGTTTAAAGACCTTACCAGCTCATTCTGATCCAGTTTCTGCTGTACATTTCAACAGAGACGGTACGATGATTGTGTCATGTAGCTACGATGGTTTAATGTAAGTCATTTTTCTCTTTATGTGATTTCAAAACTACAATTTCATTTCCTTTCCTTTTTTATTAATTTTTTTCTTTTTTTATAGTCGCATCTGGGACACTGCGACAGGCCAATGCTTGAAAACTTTGGTTGATGATGACAACCCCCCAGTGTAAGCAACCTGAACCAATTTCAATTTAAAGAATTGCTTATTTTATGTTCAAGAATTATTTTTTTTTTTGTTTTCAGATCCTTTGTGAAATTTTCACCTAATGGCAAATACATTCTTGCTTCAACACTTGACAATACATTACGTCTTTGGAATTTTCATACTGGAAAATGTTTGAAAACATATACCGGTCATATTAACAATAAATACTGCGTTTTCTCGAGTTTCTCAGTTACAGGCGGAAAATGGATTGTCAGTGGAAGTGAAGATAATAGTATCTACATTTGGAATTTGCAAAGTAAAGAAATAGTGCAAAAATTGGAAGGCCATACCGGTAATTATTGTATTCATTATTTTGAATCATTTAACAATTAATTAATTCATATCAATATCTTATACATTGCGCCTTTTTTTAGATGTTGTTCTTACGATCGCATGCCATCCTACAAAAAATATAATCGCATCCGGATCAATTGATAATGATAGATCCGTAAGATTATGGTTTGATTCTTCATAAAATAAAAAAAAAAAAAATAGTGTTCCTTTTTTCTTTTATTTTTAAAACTTAGATTTATGACCGGTATTATTACCGACAAAAGTAGTATTTTTTTTTATGGAGTATCACCCTAGATTTAAGGGTGTCCTTAATTAGATTTCTTTCGTAAAATATTTGTAATCAAGTTTTTCGTTACATATTTTTTTTTTTTTTTTTTTTTTTTCCTGCTTTAATGCTATGGAATCAGAAAAAAAAAAAAATCAAAACAAAAAATCAAAAAATCAAAAATCAAAAAATCAAAAATTAAAAAAGTAAAATTGCATCAATCAAATTTAAAACAAATCGTTTTTTGTCATGTGATACATTATTTTACACGAGTTTGTACAACTGGTCGCGATCTTTATTATATCCCGTTTTACGATAACTGCAAAAAGCAAAAATTTGAACTTACTTCCTAACCGCCTTTCTCAATGACAATTACAGAACAGCTTGAGATAATCAAACAACTCGTTTTAAAAGAACGTAAAATCGTTACTTATGAGTGGTTAAGCAAATACCTTAATATTCATGTTAATGAGGCAAAACCACTCCTTTATAAGTTTGTTTCGGAATATGGGTCTTCTAACAAAGAAAGTTTTTACACAGTATATTGCATCTCTGGTGTCTCCACGATTAATGATCAACATACTGTCACTTTAATATACCAGGAGAATTTAGAAAATATACGAAAAGACTTTAGCAAAGTTTCAAGCTTACACGTATACAGCGTACAACCAAAGTGTCCCACTGAAGCCGAGTTAGTAAAAGCAAATCAAGGATCCATCGATAAAGTTTCTACTGAACCTGTTTTACCTTCAAATACGAATCGGGAAGTTACTTTAACGGCCAATAAGAAGGAGTCTTCAAATACTTCTATCAAGCCTAATGAAAAGGAGTCAGAAAAAGTCAACCCTACACAACCTGAGATATCAAAGCCAAACACTGTGACAATAAAAAGCGCGTTTTCAAAAGAAAAGCAATTGATCAATAAACAAAATGATGATTCACATTTAGGTAAGGCCACTTCTCATGAAATTGAAACTTCAAAAGAAGAACAGGAAGATAGACAATCAGAAGGGAAGCAATTTGTTAACCAACAAAAGAACGATAAAACTGAAGATATCGTTCCTCAGGATGAATCAAAGACTTCAAATAAAAAATCAAAGAAGAGAAAGAGCGATGAATGTGAAAGTAATCTTGACGAGGCTTCAAAAGAAGGGCGGGTAAATAACAAACAAAAGAGTAAGGAGAATAAAGTAACGTACAAAAATAAAATCGCAAAGACTAGGAAGAAGAATAAGGTTGCAGATGATCTTGACCTTCAAAATACAACTGAGAAATTTATGACCATTATGACCATAGACAATGCTGAAAAAGATCAGCCACAAGAAAAGCAATCGGCTGTGTCGGCTAGTCCTGATCAACAAAGTGCTCTTCCAACAAAGAAAAGAGGAAGACGTCAGACGTTGAAGTTTAGATCGTATGTGAACGAAAAGGGATATACGGTACGTGAAAATTATCATGAATGGGAATCATTTTCAGAAGATGAATCGGTTTTAGAACCTCCTGCAAAGAAATCACAGAAGGCAATTAAAGCACAGGAACCTAAAGGCGTCGCTAAACGTGTGAAGAAGAAGAAAGGAGACAACGGTTCCCAAAAGAGCTTATTGAATTTCTTTGGGAAAAAATGATTAAATTTATTTTGCATCATATTAAATAATTATATTTGTTGTCTGTTTATTTCAACTTATAATTGAATCGTTAAATGGCAAAATTATCGGCATTTTTTTCCTTTGGCACCAATTATTTGCATATATATTATATTATAGAGATGATATAGATAATTTGTACAAACAACTTTTGTGTGTTACATATATTAAAAAACCGAAAATTATCGAGGAGATTAATTATTTCTAAACTGAAACCTTTTGATATTTCACCTTTTAAGTTGATCAACTTATTTTTTGAGATTATACGTCTTTTGTATTTTTGATACAATACCATATTCTATTAGGAAAAATTCATGATGATAGAATAGAACTCATGACTAAACCATCCCACTACCAACATTTTTGATTTAAGATCGTAATGGTATTCTTTGCATAAGAACTTCTATTGTTTTCTTGTGTCCTTAAACTTAATTTTCATAAGCAACTTTAAAGATTTTAATAATATACTTATATGAATTCAATTGCATATCGATCATTTTTATATGGCATATACAGTAATCAAGATAATGAGGATTTCTCCAAAGGCATTTGGTAAAACTTTTCTGTTGTTGTTGGTTTCTTTAACAATTACTAAAATCATTCCCATGACGATTTTTTTGATCAGTCATCCTTTACCACGGGCTTTGCATATATTTGAACTGAAATCAATTTAACTGAGCCTAAACAAATAGAAAGTTTACTGTTTGCAGATCATTTCCAAAATATATAAATTAAGTTTATCGGGTAGCATTTTTCAACTAAACGTCAGATCAATTTTGTAAATAGTTTTGATTTTTTAGCAAATTAATACACAAACAAATCAATTATAAAAAGATTAAAGATCATGGACGAAACCGAATTAAACATAATGAAAGAAACACTTCAGAATCTCAAAGGGTCGTTAGTAGACCTTACTGAGGTACCACCATCGGAATCGAAAGCATTACTCGATAATGTTTCTGGGAATCTTGAAGATGTTCAAGATACTTCAATAGGGAGATCGTTTCGAGTAGGCTGGGGACCTAACGGAAGATTTGTTCGTCGTTCGAAAAAAAATGTACGCCCTATTTATACCTCTTTCGTTCCACGAATGTCAAGAATATCTAGAGCGTCACAAAGGGATATTGTTAAGTTTCATCAAGTTTTGATCGTATCTGAAGAAGATATACATACCAAAGAACGTATTAATAAATCATTGGAATTGATCTTTGAGCGGACAACATTTGAACAAGAAGACGATACTCCTTTTGTTAACGAAACGGGTTTAACTTTCATGGACTTAATATCAAATTTTGACACAAAAACAATCGATGAACATGAGAATTTAACTTGGAAACTTTGTCATGCTTTATGGGATGATATTCAACTTCTAAATGAACATTATGAAAAGGAAATCAAAGATTATAGAAAGGCTAGAATATCAAAATGGTTTCAAATCTCCAACGAGCTAAGGATGGCAGATCATTTAAAATTGTCGGGATACAGCGATGATAACACGGATTTGATTTTTGCTTACCTGACTAGCAAACAAATATCAAAAGCTTCATTAACAGCGATTAAAAACCGTGATTTCCATTTGGCGTCATTAATATCACAATTATATGGCAATGATTTTGTAAAGGAGTGTATGAATAATCAGCTTGGTCATTGGAAAGAGACTGAAGTAAATAATCTCATTTCACCAAATTATTCAAAATTTTTCGAATTATTATCTGGGAATGTCTTTGCTACAACGAAAGGTCTTGATTGGAGGACGACCATTAGTATGCAGATGTGGTATGGTTGTAGCCTTAATGATCCTTTTGATGAAGCCTTAGCCGCCTATGAAGAAGCTAGAAAGTCTTCAGAAAATATTTCAAAACCTTTTGTATGGTATAATCAACCTTTTTCGGATTGTGCTAGTGATCATTGGGCTTATTTGGATTCTGATAAACAAATTTTTGATCTTCATTATCACCTTATGAAACTTTCAACGGATTCTACTTACTCTCTTGAAGATGCTTTACTTCCTCGATCTAATCATGTTGCACCACTTGATTATCGCGTTACTTGGCTTTTGCATTATATGATTGCGCGTGTTTTTCATATACGTGACTTTAGTAATGGTGGTGTCACAGTTGACCAAACCACTTTGAAGTTCATATTTGAGTTGGAAACTTTGGGTATTTGGCAATGGGCTGTTTTTATTGCCATGTTTATTAATGAACCAGATGTTCGTAAAAATGTATTATATGAATTATTAAATAGATATGTACATCAAATCCCCAAAGAAAAAGTGGAAAACTTTCGGAATTTTGCAATTAAAACGATGAAACTTAAAGAGGAATGGTTTTCCGAAGCTCAGGAAATTTTTTCAAAGTATAAAGAAGTACCAGGTCGAAAAAGAAAATTTAGTTATTAAAAATTTTTTACTATTATTACATCCAAGAACATTGAAGGTTGTTCCGTATGACAGGTTTTATGGTTATAAGTTTTTGATAATAAATTCAAGAATCTTATTAACATAATTGATCTCTTTTATTATATGTAATAAATATCTAACTAATACTTAGAAACTCAAATAGAAAGTTATAAAAATCATTTGTATAATCAAATCAAAAGTTAAAAAATGAATAGAGATATTATAATCTGTTATAATGAATTTTGCTATAAATGAACAAATAATCCAAGTAATTTTAGAATATAGAATCTGTGTAAAGTATAATAATTATTTAAAAGATCAATTCCTTGGTTTTTATTTATTAACAAATTATATAACTTATTTTTTTAATGATCTTGTAAACAAAATTGATTTATTTAATTACTATAAAATCAATTATTTATTAAGAATTCTATTGAGATTTTTATAGAAATATAAATTTTTTCATAAATTAACAAAATATTTTTTTATAATAAAATTTATAATGATTTTTATAAAAATCAAAATTTATTTTTTTTTAATTAAAATAAACAAAAAAAAAAAAATTTTTTTTAATATTTTTAATTCTTATTTTTTATAAAATTATAAAATATTTAAATTCTATTTATATTATAAAACTAATTATATAAAAATTTAATTAATTAAAAAAAAATACTACTTTTGTCGGTAATAATACCGGTCATAAATCTAAGTTTTAAAAATAAAAGAAAAAAGGAACA